TTTTTAATGATTACTGAAGTATACAAGCCTCTACCGTTGGAGGCTCTGACATATTTGACATATTAGTTACATCGAGAATTCCCTCTTATATTGCCATGAAAGAAAAAAACTGGACAGTAATAGCTTTTCAAGGCTGTGGTAATTAATGTTGTCTTGTTGAGCTGTAAAATGGGGTGTAACTAATCCCTCTGCCCTTTAGCCACACACACACACAGGCATCACATATAGGAGGAGATCTGTCATTTCTTCCAGTGATGTATTAGCTGTGGTGGAGGTCTCTATGCAGCTAATGAGCCCCTCCCTGTTTGGCTGTTACATGCATGTTGACCTGTATTACACCTCAGTCAGGGCTGATGGATTGCAGCTCTGCCTCAGAGAACCCAAGACACCGGCAACTTGCATCGTTTTAACTCTGAGCACAACACATCGGTATGATTATAGCTGCTGCAGGTTGAAAATGTGCACGGAGTGTGGCGGATTTATGTTTTGTCATGATGAATGTTAAACTGATAACTGGAGATGGCAGTTTTTCCATCATCATCACTGTTGGACCATTACTGCCTGTCCCAGTGACTCTTCTCTTTTTCTGTTACTCTTGGATCAGTCTTCAGTACTGACAATCAATGCATAGATTTACTTACCATTAGTTCATGATTTAAGACGGTGGAACGTACACTTTTATACAGAGTTATATCCTACAGTGCCTTGGGAGTCAGGGTATTCTTTATTTAAACCTCCGAGAAAATGTGAAGGAGGGAGTTTGAACCTAGAATAATACAATGGGTGTTGCAAACAACCTCACTCCCAACTCGTCACATATGGACGCTTGATGAATTCCCCTTGGTGTCGCTTTGTAACTCCCTGAGTACCCCTTTAGCAATATTTTTCAATGTATAGGGCGCTCAAGTTAGCAACAATAAATATCCAACATCCGGTTAGACTAGTGGTTAAAGTAACACAACTTGGTTAGGTTTTGGAAAAGGTCCCGTTTAGGGTTAAAAAACTTAACTTACGTAAGTAAAATAACACTACTTACATAACTTACGTAGCTTACGTAGCTTACGTAACCTATGTAACCTCACTAAAAAAACAATCAGTGTTGACTTTTTGTTTCACGTGGGAAACGAACACCAGTCTCCTGGGCAAAAGTCCGGTTTCTGACCTACTTGTCCACCCCAACCACCTCCTTACTTGGAGTTTTCTGTTATTTATATCCTACACCAGCTTTAACATTCAAAAATGAAGCTACAGGGCTTCCCCCCCCTGCATTGAACTATGACGCTAGGGCAAACTGACACCATTGGGTCTTGACCATGCGTCCATACGTGACGACTTGGGAGTGAGAACAGGCTGTAAACGCGCCATAATTTAGTACATTTTGATATGTCACTCTAAGAAAAGCACACTGACACCATAATCTTCAAATTGAGGGGAGGAGGCAGGTTGTTAAGTCTGGCATGGCTGTCCAAAGCTGAGGAGATAAAAACAATGCCCCTCTCTCTCATGTTCCTCCATTACTCAGTCCCTCGTCTTGCCTGGGATTACTGCTATGGCAAGCCGCTATAACATTTATTATCTAGACTGGATATTCATTATTGATGTCTGAGACATCTTTTTGCCTAGTCAAACCTCTAATTAAAGATATCTGTAATTATATTTTGACTAGTAAGATTCAAACTACTTTTGCCATTCATGTGTATGGGGTTTCTCGTTCATTTCAGTTGCAGATATCCACAATGTGAATTGCAGATATCTGCAAATGAATTATGACTGGTTGTAATTCCACTTTCAGATATCTACAATTGAATTCTGAGCCACATCGTTTTTTTCCCAGAGCTGTTGATGGAAGAGGCAGATGAGTGAGCCACCTTGCTTCTTTCTCATCTCTGTTGAGAGTTGTAAATTTCTACCACAGCTCTCTAATGAATGAAGCACTCGTTCGCCACAAAAACCTGGATGATGAGCTCTTTCTATTTCATTGGCATTTTCTAACCATCTTATCCACAGCAGCAACATTTGAGATAAATGCAACTATTATTTGGAACAGCCCAAATTAAATTACAGATAGATGCAATTGTCATTTAGGATATGTGATGAGTCGAGTGTCGTTGTCAGTGGCGTCACTGCTGATATTTGTAATTCAGTACTAACAAGTTAAAAATTGTGTTTTAAATGTTAAGTGCGCAAAGTCAAACCTAGCTCATAAATGTTAAAACAGCTTGCCATATGATGGAGGCCATTTAGTTGTCCTGTTGGTAAATTCCACTTACACAGTGTAGCTCTTTACCTTACAGTTAGCTGAAAATGCATCTCAGCCCTTGCTCCTGATCCTCTCTCCTTAGCTTTTAAGAACCGTCATTTGTTTTTGAAAAGTTTGTTCAATTTATTTTGTGCTCAGTGTTAACTGCTGTGGCTTTAGAGAGAGTAAAATGAGTAAAAAGAGAGTGTTGAGTATAAGGTAAAAAGGAGCAAATATTTTGGGTGTGGCAATCCTTCCCATGGTTATACCTCAGCTGTCAGGGTTAAGACGCTAATTTTCTCTGGTTCTGTACAGCTAATGCAAGGGTCCATGACATAATTGTATTGTATTTTAGCTTTGAAAAAAAACACAAAAGCAAGATTATTCAGCAGTGGAGACTAATTTCAACTAACCACCTTGACTATAAGTTTTTCCTCACAGACAAAATGCCTCCTTTCCACTGCTGGAGGTTACTGTTATTCTGTCCTATAACCATTAACCAGCCAGAGAGAGGGGCTGACCTTGAATCGGCGCTTTTTATAGCTCTGTGACCATCTGAGTAAGGAGGCACTGGTGACTTCATCTGCCTGAGTGGTGTTTTTCATCACAATCCTTTCATGAGTTGATAATTGATTTGTTGCTCATTCATTCATTTGCTTTTAAGTATTCAGCCTATCACATTTTCCTATCAGTCTCTTTCACTCTCTCTCTGTCATCTATCACTGCTCCCACTGATGTGCAGTAGTGTTCAGTCAAAATGGGCAGAATTAGCATCCAAGGTGGGTTAAAATCAGGGGCAGCTGGACGTGGTTGAAGACACTCAAAGACGTTTTGCCTGTCATCCCAGAGGCTTCTTCAGTTCTCAATTAACATCTTCCTGCACAGATGCAGTTTTGGATGAAGCATGCTGCTACTGAGGCAGGTTATTGCCACTGCCACTCAGACGAAATACTTACTCAGGAAAGCAATATGTTGCTTTGGATGGAGGTAGGAAACAAAAGCTGCTGGAACTGTGTGTGAATCCTGGGGGGGGGAAAATCAGTGTCACTGTGCCAAGAGAAATACCCAGCGACTCTTAATGCTTGTTGCCTGCTTTGCCTTCTGCATCTAGCCAAAACATGTTGCCACTTGCACTGTAGCGTAGAGCGCCAACCCTCAAAAAACAAACCAGTCAGATTTATTTCACTACTCTCATGCCTTTGTCCTCACCAGAACAACTTGATCGTGTGGAAGAGGGCATGAACAAGGTGAACGCAGACCTGAAGGAGGCCGAGAAAGATTTAAAAGATATAGGACAATGCTGTGGTCTGATATGCCCATGTATTAAAAAGTAGGTACCGGCCAGGAGCCCTGAGCTCTTGCCTGTCCAGTGCTGGTGGTGGTGATGTCTGATGTCTCTCTTGTCACAGTCAATGTCTTTTTTTGTCTCTTCTCCTTTGTTTCTCCTCTCTGCTCCCCTCCCTTCCTTCCACCCACGACTTCTTCCTCCTCTCTTTTCTTCTCATGTGCTTTCGTTCTTTTGCTGGAAAAAAATGACAATGTGTTGGTAATCAGAACAACTGGAGCGCATCGAGGAGGGGATGGACCAAATCAATAAGGACATGAAGGATGCAGAAAAGAATTTGAACAATCTAGGACAGTTCTGTGGTCTATGTTCATGTCCCTGTAACAAGTAGGTGCTGCCTGTGTCGCCTGACTACATGTGTTTCAGTGCCTGCCTTCCTGCCTCTCTATCCATCTGCCTGCTTCTGGTGCATAGAGCATGGTGAACTGTGGTGTGACCAGTCAGGCCAATAGCCACAATGACATACTCTCTGAACAGGCACCAGCACTGCATGCACGTCTGGGTGTGTTTGCTTTTTAAGGTTGAGATCAAGTGAACAATTGCGTGCATGCATGAACAACACACACATCTGCACAACAGGTCCGCTCCCACTTTATCTGCTCTGCAGCCTCCGTGGCTGCTGTCCTCAAAAGCCCTTCATTCCACATCGGATGAGAGATTCTCTTCCAGCAGGTAGCAGCATCAGCAGGGATCTGGGCCACAGCACCCACCCCCCCCTAAAGCCCACCCAAGCCCCCACCCTAACATCCTGCAGCATGGTGCATCATGCTGTGTACAAAATCAAACCAAATAATAAATCAACTAGTTGCCTTAGTACCTCTACTAAATCACTAATTAGAATTATATCAGTTTTTCTGCCATTTCTGCCAACTATTTTTGTTGATGTTTCAAATGTTTTTACATGAATTAACTCAGTACATGGGGCTAATACACAAAAAAAAAAGTTTCTGATTTGAAATGACAATTTCCATACAAGACTGTATCATAGTCCCTGGGATTTGTGACATCCAAAGTTTTCACCTGATATATTTTCAGAAAAAGCTTGCTGCTGTACATGACATTAAACTACAGTATATTATACAACTGATACTTGCAACTAATCAATCTGACGGGCCTGTCAGATCAGAAGGAATAGTTTGACATTTTGGGAAATATGCTTATTCTTGCTGAGAATTCGATGATGAGATCTGAAGTCTGTACAGTAAATAGAGTACATGGCTGGAGCCAGCAGACAGTTAGTTGAGCTCAGCACAAAGACAGGTAACCGGGGGAAACAGCAAGCTTTTCATAAAATGTTAAAACCATTCCTTAAAATGTAATCTTTTGAGTCTTAGTTCTTTGCAATGATTGATTGATTTATCCTTGAATGTATGCTAGTTTCAATACATTTTTCCAACAGTACCTATGAACTGGTTTTATTGTAAGGAAGCCTTAGTACAGGTCAGGATGTTCTGTACATGTAACATGTTATCTCATCACTCTCTCAGTCAAGTCCAATCACTTTATAATCAAAGACATACAGTGAAACGAGCTGCTACAATGTCTAACTTACTCTTTAACACACCGACTTTGGCATATGACCCTCAGATTCCAAGTTGTACCAATAGGGAGCCTCTAATGGCCCCTGCTTCTCTTCCCTCAGGGCTGTCCTACATAATGAACTATCATATTAAGGATATTGGGTGCCATCATTTGAATGCTTTGATATAAAAGTGGATAGATACCCAATGCCAGTGATCTGTTCTCTGGCCCTCAACAGCCAAACTATGGCCACCGAGTCATGTCTGAGCATACTATACTCTGGGACCAACACATGTACTGTATACAGTTGTCTATCTCAGAGCTATAGAAAACACAAGCGGCTGACAAAATGTAACTAAATGGCTATATTGGACATTTTGAGTTGGGTTTGCAGCAAGATTTTTCTCGGATATTTTTCTCGGAATTAATTGAGTTAAGTGATGCCTTGATGATTTACCAAATGCAGTACATGTTATACACTACTGTACATCTACAGTCAGGTGTTAGTGTAAAAGTGTTTTTTGTCTTCTTTAGGAAAGGCTTAAGCAGAACCGGAAAAAAACACTTGATTTTCGGTGGTCAGTCTGACCTAGAATGAGATTTATAAAAAAAATATATTTTATGGCTTCACTGTGTATTACCATAATGTTTATATATACATTCTGGAGATTAAATACACCAGTAGACATTTTAACAACAGACGATTATTTTCTCCAAAACAGGGCTGAACAGGATCTTGACAGTAGCACATGTAACTAATCTATTTTATTTGCATCACAGCGGTTGTTTTGTTTTGGTGTTAATAGTCATTACGTGATTTTGAAATGAACTTCTTGTTTTCAATATGAAGGTATATTAAGAATTTGCTGCCTCCATTTGGTCCATTTTGGTCCCACTTCCATACGTGATTGTTTTGTGTGTTCAGATCTTGTCTATTCTATAGCTCTTTGGTCCTCCTTACCATGAACCACGTGGTATGTAATCCCGTGGTTATGTCATTTTCTGATCTCATTCTTTATATGGGAGCCCTGGGTCAAATAGCATAAGAAAAAATAATTCTTGCTTGTTGTTATAAACTGTCTGGGGCACCTGGTGGATGTGGTTTACCACCTCAAGACCACAACGTTGCATACAGTAGTTGTCTTTCATTGAAAAGTGAACAAATACAACTTTTATATAGCCTAAACTTTGTTCTTTGTATTGTCCTCAATGGTGACCTCCACTCATTAGGTGCTCCAAGCATAATAAAACAATGCTAAGAATTACATTTGACTATTTGACTGTATACAGTGTATATAATCCTACAGATTTATCCATCCAGATGAAATGAAGGGCTGATCACAACTCCTGTATCACTTAGTCTCACTTTCAAAATGATCACCATTCACTTTGGGGTTGTTGTTTTTTTTGGTTGGTTTTCCACAACAAATCTAATTGTTGAGATTTTTTTTAATAGATGCAGCATGTGTCTGATCCTGTTCCTCTTTACGTGTTTTCCCTTCCTATGTCAAACATTGTGTACTATGTTTCTTCCTTGCATGTCCTCTCAAACTGCATGTTTATATGTTTGTGTGTCTGTGTCTCCTCTGGTCTGGAGTCTGGTTATTATATTCTGTGTTTGTGCTCTTCTGTATGTGCTTGTGGGAGATAGTCCTGAGTCTTTAAAGGACCTTCATTACTTTCTAACACAAGCCACATGCAAGCTTTTTGTGCTCACATTCAATTGATCTGCACGTTAGATCAATTATTCACTAACAGATTGCAAATGCATGTATGTATGTTTATCATACGTGGCTGGCATGTTGCTTTTAGTAGGCTAATTGGCTTGACACTATATTACCCAATGCATTTTACACGTACAGCATCTTTATGTATGTGTTTTAACAGTGAATTGCTGGAAAGGGCGCACTTACATAGATATAAACATATACTCATTCACACTCCAGTGTGCACACACAGAAGTAGTGAAACACATACTGACCAGCATACACTCAAATGCACACCGACAGCACGCTTAGTCTTGATTACATTCATAAACAAGTAAACAAGTGCACACACATACATATACACATACAAACACATGGTCATGCACACAAACATAACATAACATAACATAAGCACACACTACAACAGTTACACTGGCTCTGACTTAAATGTGTGTGGTAGGATTAAGGGCGGGGGCCAGGCCTGGGGAGGGAACCAGGATGGAGTGGTGAACAGCCAGCCGGGGGCTCGAGTGGTGGACGAACGTGAACAGATGGCCATCAGTGGGGGCTTCATCCGCAGGTAAGTGTGTGTGTGTGTGTGTGTGTGTGTGTGAGAGTAGGTGTTGGTCTGGTTGTGCCCCTCTGTGTTGCTTGTTTCTGCATAATTGCTCGTGCATGGTGTGTGTTTGTGCACACATACTGTTTACATACTGTTTACATGCATAGTTTTTAAAAAAATATATAAGACATCTTAGAATAGGCTGCCCATTTTGACAATGAAATTTAATTTCAGTTTACTTTGATGTTTAGAGGCTTACAGATTGAAGGACTGTGCTGAAGAAGCAGACCCCACTCTCAGTCTGCAGCATAAGTAGTCAGGGTTAAATAAAGTAATATCTTCATTTCGTCTTTAGAAGAAAGAACGGCAAAATCGGAGCAACAAATTTGGACACAGATACAGTACCTGATGGATATGAGTTATTTTCCAACTTTTTTGATCCCTTAATTAAAAATAAGCTGTGACCCATTACTTTCTGAAGTCTGCATTGTGAGAGTTTTCACTCTCAATTTTGTCATTTGACTAAATGTTCGAAACTTGAAGAAGTAAAACTATACCCACAAAAAAAACAGCAATTAGAGGTAACGAATATTATTTCAAATCTGTGTAGCAGAGCTTTGTTT